GATAATAATTTTACACCAAATATTCATTCATTAGCTAGCTAGTGCCGCTTAATTTATTTTACCCACCATTATGCCCCAAGTTGAACAAAAAGCACGGGCTGGCTAACTAATGAATGAATATTTGCTGTAAAATTATTATCAATGCTATAAGTGTAGCTACCAGTTTGGTCGCCGATTTAGATTTCATTCCTTTAAGTCGCATGCTCAATCCTTTTTCTTTTGGCCACACCTTTTTTCACACCTAAAGTATTTTTGATTAGATACTTGTTACTATTCGGGGAGTTTGTTTGTTTGTTTGTTTTTTAATTATGCACAAAGCTACACAAGGGCTATCTGTGCTCTGCCCACCACGGGTATCGAAACCCGGTTTCTAGCGTTGTAAGTCCGCTGTGCCACTGGGGGGCCTATTCGGGGAGAAGATTGCTGAATATCAAGTAAGAACGTCTAAAGCAATGTCCTTCAATGGTTATTCAGTTGATATATTGATGTTATGACCCACCAATGTTGTAATGAAAATTACCAGTAACGTTGTTATCGTATACCATTTTGATTAAATATGAGATTTCTTGAAAATTAAGGAACCTTGTATTTAGTCAGTCTAGTAATTTGTATTGATCTAAACAGTTTGTTATATATTTTTAATCTTAACGATTAAAAATATGAAAGAGCCAATAAAAGTTATTTTCTAGCGTAAATAAGAATTACATGTACACAAACTGTGCCTGTAGCTTATTGTTTAATAATTATTCTTTTTAACATCTACTCAGTTAAGTAAGCTTTTTAGTATTACTCTGTGACTGATATCGTAAGCGAATTTCTAGTTGTTTAGCAGACCTATTGTTGCGTCAGCGAGTCACATGACTACAGTGACGCAACGTTTCTAGAACTATCATGTACTTTGGCGAATGCTCTAGTATTTACTAGATAGGGTAGGCGGGTATATATAAGAGGGGACAACGTGACGCGAAAGGAAGGTAAGGTAATGTGTGCGTAGATAGTGAGTAATTGAACTGCAGTCAGAAGTTGATTAGCGTTTGTTTTAGCGCGATTGTTGAAGTTAAGTGTATCGGTAAAGTTATATTCGGAAAGAATAAACCAGTTTTATTAAGAAAGGACTTGTGTCGCTTAAGTTTCGTCGGAACGAAGTTACTGAAAATCAATTAACAAACGGAGACGTAACACTATCTTTCAACTGTAACAATAATCCATGTCGTCTGCAGATAACACATTAAACTTTTTGATTTGTCCCTACCTACGTTTTATTATTATTAGATTTTCGATATTATCTGTACATACTTCGTCAGTCAAGGAGGCTTGAAGCCAAACTAATGCAATATCCAAATTAATGTCTGTTTGATTGTAGTTTAAACACAAAGCTATGCAATGGGCTATCTATGCTCTGCCCACCACGGGCATCGAAACCTGGTTTCTAGCGTTGAAGTCCGCAGATACACCGCTGTGCCACTGGGGGCGAGGCCTAATTAATGTAAAGGGTTGAACAACATCAGAAGGCAAAGAACAAATTAGGTTAATATCTATGCTGAGGTCCGAGCAAACTTTGTACCTGTTTAAGGATATCTTTAGAGAATTCCAAACCATCCGCATGTCACATGGTTGTATTTTAAATCCATTATATGTTGATTTGTTGAATATTTTCCATAAAAAAAGGACTAGTTCATACCCTACCAAAAAGTAAACATGACATATAAATCATTTTGATGACCTTAAAAGACATAATAAAGATTTAAATGAAAAATGCTCATAAAGTTTAATAACTCATTAATATACTTATGTCATAAGAAAAAGAAAGAGTTAAAATCATAAATAATATTCAACGTTAAACTGGTACTCAGTTAAAAACATTTTATTTAGGGTTATTTAAAACGATTTATATTATGAAATGTTTTTTGTTTTTAAAAATAAAGATACTATTTTCTGAGTTTTCAGATGTATCTTTTGTATAAAAGCTTTCTTTTTAATTTTTAATAAAGACCTACGAAAATTCCGAATTGAATTTTTCACATATTTACATTTATGTATTAAAAGTCCAGGGGGCGATTACACCAATTCACATATAAAAAAATGAGTCCCCGGTGGGAAAGCGGTAAGTTTACGGACTTATAAAGCTGAAATTAGGGATTCGATTCCCAGCGATGGACATAGCAGATAGTCTAATGTGACTTTTCTTTTACAAATAAATAAACAGATAAAAATAACAATAAAACATTAATTGACACACGTTTAACCTCTTGGTAGCTCAACAATAAGTCTAAGAGCTTATAAACCTAAAAATCGGGTTTTGATACCTACAGCGGACACAACAAAGACAACCCGTTGTGAACGTTCTGCTTACTAATAAAGAAACACCAATATCTAAATAAAAACTTTATTCTGTTATATTTTTATGCGACATTTCAGGTACATGCCCTTCGTCAGGCAATATATACCGACTTACTGGTCTGTCGAAATGTTGCATCAAATAAAGAAAACAAAGTTTTCATTTAGACATGTGTTAATTTATCCTTTATTGTGTTTTATCTGAACTGTTTCTGCTCATGCCTTGGGGAACAACAGTAACTCAATAGTTCATTACAGCTTTTACCTGGTATTTATATTCAAATATTACTCAACAAGGTTTTAAGGTTTCATTCTTTGCGGTCTCTGGCATCATAAATTTATCATAATTTGAGACGCAAGGCTGCTGTTAGCTGGTTCTTCAACTTCGGTTTTATATTTCGAATTAGAAGAGTTTTCTTTTTCCTTAACGTCCATTCATCTTCAAATTAATAGACTTAGCGATTTGAAACCTTCGTTAAACAATCAAATGTTACTCCAGGTGGCATGTTTCGTATGGTTCTAATTTTTCTATTAAATCTATTATGGTTAAAATTTAGTTATTCAACAAAGAAATAAGTTAGCACTTTTACTCATAACTGAGCTTATTTTACAGATTGTTATATATGTATATATATATATATAATTTTCTTTATATTAACATAAATATATTTAGCTTTAAATGCCACCTTCAGGACACAATACGAACTAAAGTTAGGTTTTTCCTTTAGGCTTTACTTGCACGTGTGTGGTAGGTTACTGTTTACTTCACGTTGTATATTAGATGAATCCACAGAAGAATCAGACAATTTTATCAATATAAATGTCTAAATTTTTTATTCGAGAGACTAAGTCTAAACAAAATGCTAGGACAGGTGGAAAATACAGAGGAAACCAGAAGCTAATAAAACTAAAAGGAAAGGTAAGTGGCTCGGACTTTTTGAAATTAAGTTTGAGTTGTAACTTGTACTAAATACAAAAACAACTTCATTTTAAAGAAGTTGCACTTGTACTGCTGTAGATTATTGTATAAACCTCCGAAATGCTTGTATTTGTAAGTTGTAGTTTGTAATTTTCTATCACTTTTACTTTTAATGGCTCAGAAGCCACAATGTACAAAGTTCAAAACGATGGAAGAAATCACAAGCTATATAGTTTATAAAATAAATACAGACCAAAAAATAAATAAAAAAATTGAACAATTTTAGAGTAAAGGACCATTTGGCCCTTTAAATTAAACTCTAAATTTTAAAGCTATTCACATAAACCCACATCCAAGAAATATAAAAGTAACAATTAAACCTGCAATTTATTTTTTGTTCAGGAAACAATTTTTTTTTAATATTTGTGAAGTGTCAGCCTATATTATGGCTAAGAGAAATTCATTCCATGGCATAAGCTAATCACCCTGTTAGAAAAAGACTATCCAGCTCTAAGAAGTTAGTGGTCTGTATCCTATTGATCCCTCAGATAATCCTAAAAACTTCAGTAACTGAGTAAGATTACTTCTCAACAGGCTTCATCTTAATTTGGGAAGGCTTTAGCAAGTTGTTGCTTGTTTTCTCCCTACCACTAGTTAGTAGATATGGGACAGTTACTACTTGGTACTAGTAACATTATTCTTCTCTAAAGTTAACTGTAACTCTGTAATAATTATTTTGTGTATTATATGTTAATATATATAATTTGTATACTTCTTACATTTATAAATCTTCTTTGATATGTTTTCTTTTCAGAAATCAAACTAATTTTAGTTACATTTAATAGTACTTTTATTATATTTCACAAAAGTTAAAATATTCCCAGTTTGGATAGAAACTAGTGTATTTAAGCCATGAGTACCTGGTTCAACAAATCTATAGTACTTCACTGCTGATTGAACCTTTATGTGAAAAGAAGTATTTTATTATTAAAACTTGTGGTTTAAATACCAAAAGCTGGAGAAGCACAAGAAGCCAATAACCCTAACATTTGTGTTAGTCATGTGGACAAAAATTACATAGAAAAAACAACAGCAGACATTTGAGCACAGTATTTCTGACCATATTACCATCAGTTACCTTGGTAACCTATCAAACAAGTTGAAGCTGTTGCATTGCTATCCCCATTTTTAGATATTTATACTATGTGAGCCATGCAGCTCAAATGGAGGGTCACAGAACAGGCATGGCACTGGCAAGTGAAACATTCTTGTTAATCACAACTATAGTAACCTTCTATACTCAGAATTTTATAATATATATGTGACTGAAATGCATGTATTGTAGGTGTACTGATATTTGAGAGTAAAAAAACTTGTGAATATTCCTTTCAAAAGGTATACTATCTATTTTTTACTTGCTATTTATTAGTAAAACTACAACACTAACCAGTAATTTGCTAATATTAATTAGAAAACATTCTTACCTTCTCTCATACTATAGCAATTATTCGACTACTAAGATTTCTTCTCCCTTGCCCATCTAAGCATTGATCTGATTTTTTCTCACTTGTACCAGTCTTTTATACCTCACTTAATTTCCATTGGCAATATTTGTCTTGTGACACTCTCCACCTTTGTCAATGCACCCTCTATCCTGGTTCTGTATATAAACACTTCAATCAGATAATATTATCATTTTTGTTCAACAAAGCATCCACTAACAGGTTTCTCTGTACTATGACCATTGGAGATACTTTGAGTGTTCTTCATATTATCTATTTGGTTTTCATATAAAAGTAAATAAATTCATTTGGCAAATCAATATACGGCACAAATTCCTGGATTACTGTTTCCGGGATGGAGGCAAGTTAGGTCTTTCCTATCCCACCTCTGATATCTAGCATTGCTCAACAGTCTGGGAGAAGGGGAGTCACTCTCATTTGGGTTTGTCCGTGACCTTATTTGTAGTGAGATGGAGGCATATAATTGGTCTGGTGGTGTTTCTATGGGGGGCTCTGAGGCTGCACTTGCAGGCAATCCTGGATACTCTGGAGATAATTTAGATTTTTTACCAATGCCTTCCCTTACTATGTTGACTTCTCATGAGGTCAATTTGGATCAGCCACCTCCGGCTCCTTTTCTTCTGTTGGTAAATTGAGTGTGTGATGTCTAGGGTCTTCCCCGGTTGTTTTTGAGTCTGCACTTTCCTTGATAACAGAAAGGTATGAGGGTGAATGCTTAGTTCTCCCTCCATCCCCTGATATTGCAGTTCATGCAGGGAGGTTTATTGCTCAGTTATTTGAAGATACAACTATGCTTTGTCTGCCATGTCTGTTGGAACAACATGCTTTAACCTACCTGCTGCTGGAAATGTGGGGTTCCAGAACAGTCTGTGATAAACCAGAAGAGATAAAAATTTTCTAGGATTTGTCTGACCCTAACTATGGTGCTAAGATGTTTGTCATCCCTCCCAGTTTTGTTGGAAGCCTCTCAGCGATTGCCACATCAATTTGATGAGTTGTGTTCCCACCTCCAGCAGGTTCTTGGATTTTGGAGCTACGTTCCAGGGCTATCAGAGATTTGTTGGTCAAGGGGGAAATAGTGAGAGTCGTCCCAGTTTTTCCAGGTTTTTATTCTCATCTGTTTGTTGTGCCCAAGAAGATTGGAGATTGGCATCTGGTCATCATACTTTCTCATCTAAATCAATTCCTAGATCCTCCATCGTTCATGGTGGAGTCATTCCTCACTGTGTGTTGACATTTTTTGGTAGGACTGTGGATGACCAAGTTTTTTGTCACTGACAGCTATCTGCATGTTCCCATAGTGGAGTCATCTCGCCACTATCTGCATTTTGTGCACAAAGGTCAGGTGCTGCAGTTCAGAGCTCTGCCCTTCGGACTAGCATTGGCATCATACACGTTCTGCCGAATTGTACAAGCTTTTTCTCATCACCTCCATTCCCTAGGCCTGTGCACACATTACATGGACAACTGGTTACTGCTAGCACCATCTCATAAGGTGGAAGAACACCACTCCCAGATTCTACTTTCAGAAGCAACCAACACAGGCTTAATTATCGGAGCCAAGAAATCTCCTCCCATCACACGGATGGTTCTTTCTCTTGTGGGGATGTTGGCATCACTCAGATCCCTCATTCCTTTAGGACAAGCATACAGGCGATCTTCAGTTGTCTCTATGTGACCAATGGATCATGAACAGAGATCCACTGGATTTCCCAGTCTCCTTATTCATGATCAACATCTTTGATCTCAGTGGTAGTTAGATCGGAACAATACTACAAAGATCCATCTCTTCACGTATGTCTCCCTTCGGGGATGGGATGCATATCTCAGTGGTAAGGAATTCCAGGGTCTATGGACGGACAACAAAGTTTCTCTACACATCAACGTTTTAGAACTTCTTGCTATTCAAAGGGCGATGTCTTAAGATCTGGACTTATTGTGGGAAAAAATCTTCATGCTTCACCCCAACAATTCCAAGGTTGTGTCTTACATTTCCCATCAAGTGGCACTTGGTCCAGGTATTTTTGTTTTTGAATCTTGGATCTTCTTTATTGGGCTCACTCCCATCTTATCATCCTAATAGCTTGCAAGGTTCTTGGGGTGAAGAATTTGGGAGATCAGTTGTCTCAACTCAACCGGATTCTCCCAATAGAATGGATGCTACATCACGAGGTTTTCTATTTGATTTGCTCTTGGTTCGGGACAACAATGATCAGTGCATTTGCCACTCATTAGAACACTCAACTACCATATTGGTCTCCAGTACCTCACCCTCGGCCATTGGCACTAAATGTATTCAGTCAGGACTGGATGGGATTGCACTTTCTATGTCTTCCCACCGATTCATGTGTTACCCAGAGTACTAGCTCAATATTCGTTCAACCCCTTGTCATGTTCTGTTGGTAGAACTGGATTGGCCGGTTCAACCTTGGTTCCGCTTCTGCAGTACCTTCAGGAGTACCCACCTCTTCCACTTCCTCTTTGGCCATCTCTGTTGAGGCAGCCACGACATTGTACATCCAGCCATCCTGAAGCTCAAGCTTCAAGCATGGAGGTTATGCAGTTCTTCACACAACATCAGGGTTTAATATCTAAGGTTGCCATGTATCTGTCTAAGTCTTTGCATAGTCCCACGATGGACATTTATCAGTGGAAATGGCACACATATCGACATGGTGTTTTGTGAGGAGGTTGAACCCACTTCATCCAGAAGTGTCAACCATAGCTCGTGTTTTTATGTGGCTCTTTGACAAGGGTTTTGCATCTTCTACAATCACCTTATATAAGGCAGCCTTATCAACTACCCTTAGATACTCAGAGAGACAAAAATTATTTCAATCCTTTGTTCCAGACGACATTTCAATTACCTGAGATATCAACTCTCTCAATATGTGCTTGGTCAATTTGATCGACCACATGACCTCTTTGTACTCATTTAAAATCTTTATAAATTTGATACTACTAACTTTTGACCTTTTCCAGGTGGGTCACAGATGAAAGACCGTGTTATCGCATTTGTTGACCCACATTAAAAATTTTATTTAACTACTATTTCATGAATTTATGTCAATATGTTTGGTATCAAACTGTAGATTATAATTCATATTTTAGTATTATACATTACTCAATTTCTTAATATAAAAGTAAATATTAAAAAAACCACAGTTAAACATCGATTTTTGTGCGTAACGTGGTATGTTGAATGCAGCACTGATTCAAATTAGATGTTTGTGAAGTTAAAATACTAAGTCTATAGTTTCATATGAATTAGGAACTCAAATTACTGATATTAACAAGCTAGAACATAAAACAAGAGCCTCTTATTATTGGAAATATATTTTTGATTTAAGAAAATGTTTACTTTCAAGCCGCCTTTACCCTTCCTAAGAGAAAATTGGTAGTGATTATATACATGACAGTCATTCACTTACTGTTCAGGAATAATTTATATAAACAATGGATGGCCAATAGGTATGAGTGTATGTATATGGCTATGCCATGAATGCTAATGTATTAACAAATATTCCCATTTCACACTTCATATTAGTACTTGGTGGTATTATAGTTTTTCTCATCTTCCCTCTTATAGACATATAATTAGTCACTCTTCTTGTCTGTGACTATCACACACATACATTTCTTGGATACCTATCTCTTCTTCTGTTGTTGATCACAATTTCTGCTGACAATCATTTTTTTTTCCTTTCTACACCTTAATCTCCCCTCATTCCACTTCTCTCTGCTTCCTTTCTCTCCTTTCAGTCCCATCTATAATCTTTTTCATTTGGTCTGCAGTCAGTCACAGTCAATGTGTAGGACATCTTCCTACATGGCTTTCTTGGCCTGTCCTCCCATTGTTTTCTGTGATTTGTCTGTCTTTTTTTGCATTCTCCCATTCCTTACTCTTTCCTTCAACTTAGCATTGACCCCTCTTGTATTATTTGGTATCATGAGGAATTGTCATGGTGGCTGGACTATACTTGCATTCCCTTTACTACTTCTCAATCTGGATTTCTCCCTTCTTTGATACTTTCCTTTCTGGTTGGAGCACATTTTTAGTCATGGGTAGGACTTCTGATGTTTGTATGCTGGACAGGCATCTACTCCAAACCACTAAATATCACACCCTACTTTGAGAAGAATACGTACCTACATTTTAATTACCTAACTGAAATATCAACTCTCTCAATATGTGCTTGGTCCTTGCAGCTATTGTTCAGTGTGTTGTGGATTACCACATGTTTACTAGACCTTCTGTTCCCATTCCATTGGCGTAATTTCGTTCTCCTCAGTTGAGAATGATCTGTTGGATTGTGACCTTCACCTGAGTTGCCTGGGGTGGAGAACTTGGATCTAAATCCTTTCTCACATTCACTCAGTGTCTGGTACTGTTGGGCATTTTCTTCCTTTCTTGTCTCAACCAAGTGTGGCTTTCACCTCACTTCACACATTTCCACCTATACTTCCTACTCCCAGTGCACTTTTGTTTCCCTTACCTCATCAGACAATGAATTTTACACAAGTACACGGGCATAGAGGAGTTATAGCGCATGGAGGTGTGTCATCCTCTTAATGGTGTGCGAGTGTGTTGTACATAGTGTATGGCTCACAAAAATTCTTGGAGTGTTTAAAGCAGCCACAATCAAAGTGTTAAATCTGAAGGGTGATAGTACAGAAGTATTATGCATAATCAGGGGTGACATGTGGGTTTCTTTGAACAAACCTTTTTTCCAGTAGTTTTGTAACTAATGTTTTAATATTGTTAAATATATACATTTTAAAGCTAATTTAAAAAATTAGAAAAAGTGTGAAATATCTTAAGTTTTTTCTCGAGAGACTGTAATTATCTTAAAATTGGCCCTTAAAGCCACCTGTAATATGTACCAAACATATTCCTTTGATCTTTGTTAGAAACGTAAGAAAGAAAATGAAGATATATCTTTGAACTCTATCAAAAAAGGAGGGAAAAAAGTGGCTCTTGATGTTGAGGATATTCCAAGTGATGATGAGGAGAGGTTTGTGATTAACCATTTATTTATCCACCCCAAGTGTACTGGAGATGTAGTTGTATTTTACTCACAATTTATCTCTTTCAAGAATCTTGATGATTTACAGACAGGAAATGGATTGTAATGTTAGTGAAAAATTTATCAATTATAAGACAGAGAAAATGGTCATGAAATTTAATTTAGAACTTGGAAATGTTTTATTATGAAAATATTGATTCAAGAATAATTTTTATAAGATGTGCTCTTCTCAAGTATAATTATCATTCATTTAAGATAATGCAGCTAAATGGGTATTGTGGAATCCTGTGTTAATTTTTTATAAAATGTTGAACCAGAATGAGAAATTAATACCTCTATAGTTAAAAATGTAAATTATTTTGCTTTGGAGATGCTAAATAAGAATGTGTAGTAAGATTGTCACTTGTAATCCACTCTTCAAATATATTATTTAATTGTTTCATTATAAATATGTTGAACCAAAAAGAGAAATTAAACCATGGCCTGCTACACATTTTTCATGAAAGTTCTATGATTTCAAGCATTTTTTCTACATTAGTAGATATATGAATTTATTTTTAATCATTTAAAAAAGAGAGAGAAGCAGAAACTATACATTATATAATATAGCAACCTGTTAGTGGGTAGTAATTAGGGAGCAAACTATTGTTGTCCTTGTATAGAAAATATTATAATCTCATGAATAACAAATTATGTTTCATTGTTTCTGATAAGATGTAAGCTATTATTATTATATTAACAACTATCTTCTAATTATCAATCCCACAATGCCCAAAATAAGGAACTGTTCTTAAGTTTAAATCAGGCCAGATGCACTAATTTAACAAACCTTTCATTTGGTTTGTTTTATTGCATTGCAAAAACAAACTATTGGATAAAATAGTTTAAAATTTCAAACAAACTCTCTACATTAGCTTATTTATTTTCTAAAGATGCAGCAATTTATAAGTATAATTTAGCTTTTCTTTGTAATGTTTTATCTTAACAATATTATTAAACGTTATTGTTGTTGGATATACAAGGCTGTTTAGTATAGGCATTATTATTTAATTTATTTTGTTATTTCATGGTTGCTTAGTTTTTGCATAACAAATGAGTTAAAAGCAATTATTTTAAAGGTGATAGTTATGACAAGTTTGGTTACGTAACTCGGTAAGAGTCATACGTGTGTTTGTAATTCATTGATGTTGAGACTATCATACATTGTGTTTGCAATTCATTAATGTCGAGGCTATAGAAATTTCTAGAGGCCTCAGTGATAAACATATAACTAGGGGCAACAAAATGAGTGGGAGCGGAGTTAAGGTAAAGTCAAGTGAAAGGGAAGTTCAGTCAGAGAAAATGTGAAGTTAGCCATAATTTGAGTAAATAACCTTAAATGTTAATATGTTAAGAAGAAGAAGAGGACTGACTGTAAAGTGTTTAAGATACAACTGTGATCTCCATAGTGTAAAGAAGGTTTATACATACATTTATCTTGTTTTGAATATATTATTTTAAAACAAGTAGAGTGCGTGCTGTCCATTTATGGTTCAATTTGATCACCAAGAAGTCACAGACACCTAATGTAGAAGAATTAACACCTACACATATACATATATTTAAAACCCCGACAATTGTTATTTTTTAAATGTATTCTTTCTAAACTTTTGGTTGTATCAAAATCTCGCTTAACAGCTAATGTTTTTTGTAGTTAGAGTATTGTGAACTAACATTTTGAGATTTTAACTCTGATAATGATGGAATATGAAACAATTCTGAAATGTCCATAATTATATATTTTTGGTATTACCATGTTTCTTTTCCTTATTATAAAACTTAATTTTAACCTGATGAATCAGTTTGAAAAGAAGTTCTTTGGGATAACTTTCAGGCTGTTTTAAATAGATTAGATAGAACAAATAAATTTCTCAAAGACAGACATAAATTGAACAGATGCATTATGTATTTACACTTGTATTATGTTTATTAATGTGAAGCTGGAAAGAGACATGTGGATAAAAATAAATTCTTCTTTTTTTTCTGTTTTTTGCTGGATAAGATTTCTGTATAAATGTACCAAGAAAAAAAACTACAAATTAATCTGGTCAAACTTCTTAAGGTTGTGTATTTATGACTAAAAAACAAGATTGTTAGTAGCCAAGGGACCCAACTGATGAATCATTGCACTTTTATCAATATAGATTTTAGTTTTATTGTATTTGTTTTTATTTATTTATAACCTTATGTAATTCTAGTCATTTATACAGAATTGATGTCATTAACTTACAAGTCAGTTTTGAACTCTGCTCTGTAGAATTAGATTAGTGTTGAACACAAATTATTGATAAACTCTTCATCATAGCTTGAAAGTAATGCAGCACTATAAAATATTTCTGTACTGGTACACCAAGAAAATATAAAGCTAAACACATCAGCATTATAAACTTGTATCAAGTTTTCTAACCAGGTTGGTCACAGAACCAAAGAACTTGGAAATGTCAGGGAAAAATACCTTGTGTAAATGTCACAGCAGACTGACATTTCAGTTGAGGATCTTTATTTTAATGTTCAGACCCAGCATAGTTTAGTGATGATTCCTTGGATGATGCTTTTTCACATGCCAGGCCATTCCTAGTATGAAACTAATATAAAGCTGAAAAATAATTAGTACGGATGCACTTAAGAATAAACTAAACCATGTTAGCTTTATGATTTGAACATATCAAACTAAAGTTACATTTAACACATCCAATCAAACATTTTTGGAATGTAGGTATCAGTGTAAAACTTTCAAAACAAGGCATTAAAAAGGCTATAAAAATTAATTACAAATTACTATGAAATCTCATAATTGTGTTTTTAGTGAATTAGAATGTAAGAAGAAGGATGCTGCTACATCAAGTGAAGATGATGAAGAAACTGAGCAGGAAAAACGCTTAAGGCTTGCTAAAAAGTACCTTGAAGAGATAGAGAAGGAAGGTGAGTTATGCATATAGCTATGAAAGTAAGAATGGATCTTCTAGAGATGAAGAATCAAGGTGGGTTAGGAAAAAAGCTGTAGAAACAAAAAAAAATAGAAAAGCAAGGTGAATAATGATCAAAACTCTAAAACTAAAAAAAGGTAGGTACCTTGAAAAGATAGAAAAGCAGGGTGAATTATAAATGAACCTGTAAATTAAGCAAGTATGTACCTTCAATAAATAGATCTTACAAATGATGTTGCTCATGCATTAAGAGATCTTGCATAAGCTTGCTTCCTCACCATAATTTAGATACTTTCATCAACAGTTCTGCTGCTATCTTTGCTCACTATGAATTCTGATTTTAATGTTAATTACCACTGCAAGTGCTTCTACCAATATTGGAAGCTTTATAACTTATTTGAGACCTTACGTAGTCTATCTCTAACGTTCAGGGAGATATTTTGGTAGCATTTTCAGCCCTCATTATTCAACATATTTTCACATATTACTCACTTTAAGTAAGCAAAGATTTGACATTTATGTCCTCAATGATTCTTTTACTCTCTTTTCTTTTCTAGGAAGATTCTGTACTTATATCTTGATGTAGCCTTCACACAAAAGTATATTTGGCTGCAAGAGAAGATAAACACAGTTTTTCATCCAGGTGTGTTGACTGAACCAGATTCGCATTCTGAAAAATGTTTTTATTTCTTATAAGGGCTGTTATTTGCCCCTGTTGCATGAAAAGAATCTTTTAGAGGAGCTCAGAGTAGGTTGTTTATATCTTATTGTGAATCTTGCTTCACAGATCTTGCTACTTACAAGCTAATGAATTGGCTTGTGCAGCTGATTTGCCTTGTATTTCATGATATTCTCATAAAATCTCTAATCTGACAATGTTATGATACAATTTTACCTCCTTTCACACAAATCTATCTCAATTTTCTTTCTGCCCTCGAAGTATTGCTAGAAAAATTTTGTGCTCAGCTTACCAGTCTATGTATCCCATCAATTTTGCACCATTTTGGAACATGTACATATCAAGTGACTACTCTCAACCAATAGTATTGCACCACCTATGTTCGCACAGTTAGCTCCCTCTGTTATTCTCTCTCATAAGACTTCCAAGGAATCAGGTTCGACTCTACCTGCAAAGGAGATACAGGGCTTCATGTTTGGCTGGTGATTTTTTCTTCTTTTCAACCTGACAATGTTGTTGAGGAAGAATACAATAAAAAAAAAGACAATTTTGAAATCTCTCTTTCTGGAACCTTCTTATTTTGGTCTGTCACACTCTACACCTCTTCAGGAGATTTCACCTTCCACACCCTTTTTTTACAGCTGGTTACTCAGGTCAGTGGTCGATGTATATTCAGTTTTTCTGTATGTCTGAGATGAATGTGATTTCATTAGTTTTCTTTTTCTTACTCCTGTTGCTGTGCCTGTATGCTGTTCACTTTGGTGGGGGTGTGTTCTTCTCCTCCTTCTCTCCTATTGCTTCCAGATCTCTTAGTGGATCGGTGGTAAGTTTTTAGTCTTGTACATTTTGCACCTGGTAGAGACATCTGTAGTAGGCATGACTCAGATTCCCTTTGTGTGGCTTTGTCCTTATTTACACATTGGAGAATTAGATATTTTGCATCATCATTGCTTGGACATTGGTAAGTTAGATATTTATGTGTCCTTTGTTGTATAAGTTAATTTGAATTTATTGTAAGTTAGATTTCAATGTTTTTTGAGTTCTACGTTAATGACTACTTTGTCAATTAGGTATGTTTAAATAGTTTGTACTTTACATATCCTTCCTACATCTTATTCATTGTTCTATCTGAATTTATTTTTCATCATTGTTAATATATGCCTTATAATCCTAATTTTCGTCAGTGTTGGACTTAATTTTGTTTCATTGCTACAGCGTTCACGTGTTTGTTTCTTTCATGTTCATCAAGATGAGCTTTGCTTTGGTTACATTATCTATGTTCTTGATACTAGAATCCAAATTTTCTCTTTGTACTCTACATCATTGATAGTTATTGATAGCTAGAAGTCAAGATTTCCAGTTTAGGGCCCTACCATTTGGACTAGCCTCAGCTCCTTATGTATTTTGTCGGGTGTTAAGAACTTTCGCCGACATCTTCACTCAATGGGTCTTCGCACTTAGCATTACATGGACGACTGACTCCTACTTGCTTCTTCCCATTCACAGTCAAGACATCACACTTGTCTGCTCCTACAAGAAGCAGCACAGGTTGGTTTCCTGATGAAGGTGGAGAAGTTGGTTTTAACCCACTCAATACCGTGTTCATTTTGGGGGATTTTCTTCAATTCCAACCTCAATTAGGCCCAGCCTTCTCCTCTTTGTCTTTCGGATATGGAGCAAGCAGGCCACAAAGCCCTCGCCTCACATTGTCTTACAGTTTGAGAGGTTGCCCTCAACGTTTCATGTACTCTTGTAGGCCTTGTTGACTTTCATAATTTCCATGGCCATTAAATGCACACTGTTCTTTATTATCACATATCCTAGAGATGGAGTATTCCACAAGATCACTCATAAGTTATTCCTCATGATATATTTGCTTAATAAATATGGCCTTTCTGGACCATAGTGAACCATGGACTTCATGGGGTAAGGCAGAAGGGGATTGCTGCCCATACCTACCATTCCTTAGATTAAATAAATTAAATTTGGTCTGCTTTTCAAAATAGGGTTTTGTGGTCACCCGTTGCACTGTCTGTGGTGTGAATGCTCCTTCGGATTCTCCATTGCATCTTTCTACCACCATTTCTTTCAGTAAAGTAAGATAGTCCTTACCACTTTTCAGTTCCAATCTGCTAGGGTGATGGACCATGGAGGTATCCACCTGAATAAGAGATACACAATATAAACAATGACAACTCCATTCAGTTGAGAGTAGGGCAGTGGTGTTCTGCTGGTGTAGTTAACACAAATCCTCCAAAAAACACTCAATCTCTGCATGGACTTCTCCAAGGGGAGGTTGTAGCTTTGGAGTGAGCTGTCATAAAGATTGGGATCCCTCACTCTACCCCTGCATGGAAGTCGGTTCTTAGTGATATAGTTTTGGATTTAGAGCTGAACCAATCACCCTATTGCCCATACTCATATTGAGTTGATTGGGATCCCTCACCTTACCCCTGCATGGATGTTGGTTCCTGGCAGTTGAGTTTTGGATTTAGAGCAGAACCAATCAGAGTATATCCTCATACATGTTGTGCAATTGGAATCTCTCATCCTACACCTGCATGGATGTCAGTTCCCAGCGGTTGAGTTTTGGATTTAGAGCTGAACCAATCAACATGATGTACTCACACATATGGTGTGTTGGCATATATGCAGTTCACCTTTTTAATTGGGATCCCTCATACAACCCCTTCATGGAAATCAGTTTCCACTGGTTGAGTTTAGGATTTAGAGCTGATCCAATCACCATAAGTCCTCACGCGAGTGTTGAGAGGTTGCCTGGTACATACTCATTTCACCTTGGGTGCACTGCCCTGGTGTTGTGGTCACAGTGGATGCACTTGTTGGTTTCTCTGCTTCTTTCTCTTGCACTAACCCTCAGTGTCCTTATGCCAAAGATGTTACAATGTTTGAGGTGGTCTAATCTGTTTGGTTTGAGTGGGATATCTATGTATTTCGCTCTCCTCACATGTGCTCTGTTCACACATCAGTGGTGAAAATTTCTCCTGCCAATTGACTGAACTTGAGGTGAAGACAGTATAATCCTCTTTCCTACCCCTGCATGGATGTCAGTTCCCAGTGGTTGAGTATTGGACTGTAGTTGACTTACCTTATGGTATGATCCTTTCAATGGACATGAGAGAAAGCAGATTAAACCGCTGCTGTCCCATTGTGCTGCGAAGATGATTCTTTCTAAGTTTCAACCTGAAAAATGAATGCTCCCAGGTACAGTTGGTCACCATCATGCACATAAATATTCTGAGTGCGATTTCAACATTGGGAAACACAGATTTCAACTTATTTGAAATGAGTTTGCTGTACATGTCTGGAAGAGTCTTGCATTCTTCATTGTGGACAATGTAGTGCTTGAATTGCTTGCATTCATTGTAATCAAGATCTTCATGATAAGCATTAGCCAATGTTTCACACCTTTGACTAAGCTCATTACAGTCAATTGTTTTTAACTGACTGAAGAAGGAAAACAGATTTCCAATACTTTTGTAGGCTTCTGCATATTTAGTCAGGTGAGAGTTCAAAGAGTCCGGAATAGGAAGGTATGTTTCCACCTTGAATTTTTCACTTCCGCAGAGAAGTATCTGTTCCACTGACCCATCATATCTGGTAAGATGCACACTTCACTTTCTTGCACGTTTGTCTCCATCGCTATATTTCGAATCTGGACTTGCTTCATACTCACTGAAGTTGTCTCTCATTTCCTGAAGATAGGCCTTCAGAGACTTGAGGAGATCAATGGCAACAAGTATGTCCACATCTTTTGACTGCAAAATTTTACTTGTTTTGTTCACTTTTTCTAGAATGTCATTCCAAAGAATTGTCAAAAAGATAGACTCTAGCTTCTTCATTTTCTTGCTCAATCCTTCTGCCTCGCATCTTGTGTTCCACTCTTGATCAGCATCAACTGCAAGGGCATTCAATGCATCTTGAATTTTCTCAAAACCTCCATAAGATCAGTGACAGCATCAAAATGTGCTGACCATCTCGTGTCAAAGAGACACTTGACCATAATATGATTCTTTCCCAAGGATGACGTCAGAACATTCCAGTAATGTGTGGAAGCCGAGAAAAAGGAATACAAATGCTGAACAAAGGCAAAGAAGGAGATGATCTGTGGCAAATTAATTTAGTTCACAGATCCATGCTTGCAATCCAGTGTAGCGTCCTGACATATTTGAGACATTGGCATAAGACTGACCATGGCAGTTTGATAACAGAATGTTGTTCTCTTGCAGGAACTCTACAACCGTGTCTTTGCCCCATGAGAAAAGATGGGGATGAATTTGAGGAAACGTTCCACC